AACCCTATCCCGGGCAGGGTAAACTGTTCCCTCGGTGTCCTTTTCATAAGGGTCTTATGAATCGCTCTTTGTCTGGTCCCTCACCAGCAATTGTAGCTCCTGCAATGTAAAGCAAACGTCACAAAAAAGCGCAGAAAAACAGTAAGTCCAGCTATGCGCAGCAACCACTAGGGGGCCGGCAAAAGCTTACTGCAAAAGAGCATAGATACGGCAGAAACACTGTTTAACAGCAACCAACCTTTGTTTCAGTTACACAGTAGCGTTCTAACATCAATACAAATCTATATACACCAACATGTACAACCTATGTAACAACATTTACACCAGAAACCATAAAGATGCCAGAGCCTTTCATTACAGAACTTACCCTCACAGTGCAAATGGGCCTTGTGAGGAACAGAAGCCTTAGAAGCTTCTAAACGCCAGAGCGAGATCCGGTTGATGGATTTTCAAAATAAAATACAACAAAGATGATAAAATTCACACTTAAAACAATAATTAAGACCAGGTAAGTACATGTTTTTCCAGATGTATTTTTAACTCTGTTATACTCAGCCCCACTGAATTTTTATCAAATTTGAGCCTCAGGTACCAAAGGCACCCACACTGGTACACACCAACCAAACAGAGGTCAAAAATCACAAACACCAACTAAACGTATCCCTAAGGATGAAGTGGGATTGGAGCAGCGCTAAACTCCCAACCCAGCAACTGGCAGCAGGGTGCCCGAAATACACCCTACCAATAACCCTTTACAAGGTGTGTACCACGGCTCAACAGGGAAAAAAACAACAAAAATGCAGAGTACGTAACAGCAAGTACAAATCCCATCACTCAGGTAGACATATAAACAAAACATTTGGATCAGTCTATTCACTGGTTTGACAAGTCGCCCAAGTCTGGTTCTGATCTGGGGAGCATCCCCGGTTTGGCCATAGTCAACCTTTGGGGACTGAGCAATGGCATGAGCAACTATATCCACCGCTACCTCAGGTGTAGTAGAGCATACTTGTACACCCTCCCCACAGCTCGTAGCAATATTGACTTCTTGGGATGCCGTGCTAGAACCAGCTTGGTCAAAGTCCACTTCAACAGACAAGCCCGATGCGGCTGGCAGGACTGAATCCATGCTTGAAACATCAGTAACATCTCCCTGAGACCGGCTGGACTCCGTCAACTGCGACACCCATGCAATTGTCCTCTCTTCAGGGTCCAAAGGTTCAGAGACAACCTCCAGGTCAGCTGTCCCATCCATGGCATCGGGTGAGCAGTCACCATCAGCACCAACACAGCTCACAGCAGGGGCATTCAAATCTCCCTCCCCATACGCAGCCCACACCAGAGACTCTGAGGAGCTCACTTATCGATTGACTCTCAAAATTAGCACCCTGGTCGCTGTGCATCCTTTCCAGAAAGCCGAACACACAGAAGTACCTGTTCCAGAGAAGCCTTGCAAGCTGTTTAGCCGACTGGTCCTTGTATGGGAAGGCCTGCGCCCATCCAGTGAAGTGGTCTGTGATGACCAAGACGTCCACAGACTTGTGTGAAGCCTCAGCCGACCAAAAGTTGATGCAGACCAACTCCAACAGTCTGGACAAGGACATGCTGAGCAAAAGAGCACGACCCTCTGGTTAGATGGTCTTACTGACTACGCAGCGCTGGCATCCCCGTACATGGCCTCTCACGTCACGCCCAAGGTTCAACCAGAGAAATCTCTTTCTAGCCAGGTCTAAACTCCTGAACTGGCCCTGGTGACCAGCATCATCATGGATCCCTCTGAGGACCTCGGCCTTCAACGAGTCAGGAACCACGAACTGCAGTCGTCTGTTACCTGATATCTGGTCTCTGGAGACTCTGTACAACACACCGTTGTTGAGAACCAGCTTCTCCCAGTGGCTCAGGTTTCCTTTTAACAAGGACCGGGTCCCCTACCCGCTCTCTCCTTGAGGGTCTCTTGTGTCTCTCAACGTAGAAGACGACGTGGGAAAGCACGTATTCAATTGTATTCTATTGAATCTATTGTAAAAAAAAATCTAAACAAAAGAAAACATAAACTTTCTGTTATTTCATTCCTCGGGGAGTCTTTACAGTTAACAAACATCGAGCCCCTGGGCCGTATGTTTGACACCTGATATAGTGAGTGAAGAAGAAACACCCAGTGCATAATGGGAATCCCCCAGCAGCCTACACCTGGCAGCATAACTAAGGGAGGATTCAGGGTCACCTGATCCAAAAAGGAAAGTTTGAATCTTAAAAGCAGAGCTAGTGTCTGTCAGCAGCCAATGTGCAAAATAAGAGAGGGCTAAAAAAGACCCAGTCAGAGAAGCTCAGATCATAGCAGCTGTTTGAAGATATTCAGAGTTCATATTTAAACTGAAGCGGTCCAGTGATGTGTGCAATGAGTTTGATGGGACATGTGAAGAGCTGTGATCTGCAGAGTCTGACAGAGAAGGCAGCGTGCACATCAATAATATCACTATAATCAAGGTTAAGAATATAACCTGTGCACGTTTTTACTAACTGCTGACTGGTAAACCAAAACTTTTCATAATAAAGTCAAATCTAAAGTTTGCACTCAGTGCTCCGTCTGAACTTTGTTGTCCAACCGAACACTCAAATATTTATAGGATTACACACTTTCAATACAATCTCCCAGTTTATAAAAAACAATCTGTGAGTGATTTCTGGAAAACAGGATGAATTTGGTTTTATTAGCATTAATAACTAACTTTAAGCTGCACAATAAAGTCTGCAGCCACTGCAATGCAGTTTAAAGCACCTCAACAGGATGATTCAGAATCGAGTGAGTCGGCCTACGGTACAGCGTCATCTGCAGAAAGGTGCAGATTTATTATTAATACAAATATCAAATAAATCAGCGGCATTGTTGGGCTCAGCCTGCCCTTGGTAGGGTCTCCCAAGGACAACTGGGCCTGGTTTAAGGCCAGAACGAGTGTGAATAACACGACCTTTGAAAAAGCACTTTGGTGGTACCAAAGACACGGCTCAGCCTGTCCTTCGCAAAGTCGATCAGACAGCCAGAGGCTTACAGACATCGTTCAGAATCTAATGATCAATAAAATTATGTACAGTCGTGTCCTTTGTTACTAGCTTGTATCTTTGTTCCTCCTCTCAGGGACTTCCTCCCTCGTGGATCCGGCATCGTCACTCGGCGTCCCCTCGTGCTGCAGCTCATCAACTGTCCCACAGGTGAGACTCACAGTGCAGAGACACGTGGTTCGTCCGTGCGGTGTCTGATCTGATCGTGTGATGTATATTGATCAGAGTATGCCGAGTTCCTGCACTGCAAAGGGAAGAAGTTCACGGACTTTGATGAAGTTCGTCAGGAGATTGAAGCTGAAACGGATCGAGTGACGGGGCAGAACAAAGGCATCAGTCCGGTCCCCATCAACCTCAGAGTCTACTCCCCCAATGGTAACACACACACACACATACACATACACACCTGTCCTGGTCCTGACTCTGCTGTCTGTCCTCAGTCCTGAACCTGACTCTGGTGGATCTTCCTGGGATGACGAAGGTCGCAGTGGGCGACCAGCCACCCGACATCGAGCACCAGATCAGAGACATGATCATGCAGTTCGTTACTAAGGAAAACTGCCTCCTATTGGCTGTTTCCCCAGCCAACTCTGACCTTGCTAACTCTGACGCCCTGAAGATCGCTAAGGAGGTTGACCCACAAGGTAAGGCTCCTGACAGCTCCACCTACATCTTTCACCTGTACTGTTCTTTCCTGGACTAAATAAAGTGTTTCGGTAATGTCGCGCAGGTCTGAGGACCATCGGGGTCATCACCAAACTGGATCTGATGGATGAAGGGACCGACGCCAGAGACATCCTGGAGAACAAACTGCTGCCACTACGAAGAGGTACAGATGCATGACATTACACCAAACCCTCTCACTGGTTGGTGGTCAGCTGCCTGCTCAGTCAGATTTGAAGTCACCTCAAACACTTTCATTTCAAATTTCACTCAATGTGGAGGTGAAGAGACAGAACAGGCTACAGCTGAGCAGACAGAGACAATACGAGACTTTCACTGTGTCAGGTTACATCGGGGTCGTGAATCGCAGTCAGAAAGACATCGATGGGAAGAAAGACATCACCGCAGCCCTGCAGGCCGAGAGGAAGTTCTTCCTATCTCACCCAGCTTACCGTCACCTGGCGGACCGCATGGGCACCGCCTACCTGCAGAAGATTCTCAACCAGGTAAATGCACAAGATCTCTCCCAAGTTTTCTGACTGCAAGGATTTCAAATCTGTCTTTCCACAGGGCTGGGCAGTGAGTTCTGTTAGCTTAGCACAAACACTGACACCGCTAAAGGTCCTCACTGTATAAATACTCTTTGAATTTCCCCAGAACATTTCCAAAACACTGTCTGATTTTTGAGGAAGTTATGAGGAGCAGGATTCTGGATTTAACAGGGAGCCAATGAAGGGACGGCGATACAGGAGAAATCTGCTCCCTGTCCCTGTCAGGACTCTTGCTGCAGCATTTTGGATTAACTGCAAATGGAAGAAAGCAGTCTTACATATTTGTTTAATATGTGCGTTGAAGGACATGTCCTGGTCAGAAATGACTCCAAGGTTCCTCACAGCGTTACTGGAGGCCAAGGTAATGCCATCCAGAGTAAGAATCTGGTTAGATACCATATTTCTAGGCTTTTCAGGGCCGAGTACAATAACCTCAGTTTGATCTGAATTAAGAAGCAGAAAGTTAGCGGCCATCCAGGTCTTTATGTCTTTAAGACATTCCTGCAGTTTAACTCATTGGTGTGTGTTATCTGGCTTCATGGACAGATAGAGCTGGGTGTCATCTGCATAGCAGTGTAAATGTATGCTATGTCTTCTAATGATGCTGCCTAAGGGAAGCATGTATAATGTAAACAGAATTGGTCCTAGCACTGAACCCTGTGGAACTCCATAATTAACCTCAGTGTGTGAAGAGGACTCTCCATTTACATGCACAAACTGGAGTCTCCACCTATGTTCTGATGTTAGTGATAAATAACAGAGCACCTCTCTCCTACCTCCAGCAACTGACCAATCACATCCGGGACACGTTGCCGGCGTTGCGCAGTAAACTGCAGAGTCAGCTGCTTTCCATCGAGAAGGAGGTGGAGGAGTACAAGAACTTCAGACCGGATGACCCGAGCCGCAAGACCAAGGCTTTGCTGCAGTAAGGACCAGCACAGATATTCACCTACGGCTCTCTTTAACACGCAGTTACAACGATTCAACGTGTCAAGATTCAACATGCACCATGCCAAGCTATGCGTTTTCTCTACACTCTACCAGTGTAGAGAAAACGCATAGCTTGGCATGAATGATTTCACAGCATATGTTTAAGAACTAATGAACACGTCTGAGTTTACTTTGGACACACAGGGTCTACAGTATACTTACAGACTCAAGTATACACATACACACTGATATTTGGTTATCTCTTAGCAAGTTGCTCATCAAGCAGACACTTTTGGTATCAACAGGCTACCAGATGATATTTGACATCTCTTCTTGGTAGAGTTCATTTAAACTTGGTTCCTTTACACAGCCGGCTTTTAAGGTCTCCCATTTTCAACAGGGTTGAAGTCAGTTAATGTTAGCCCGCTTTATCCATTCCAGATCTAGTGTTAATGTGTGTTTGTCCCCAACTGTGTCCACGTTTCAACCCTGTAGTTACTGATTGAAGGTTACTCCATTACTTGAACAAATTTGTGTAATGTACCACTGGCACCAAACAGCACGATGGTGCCTCCACTATGCGTGCTCGCTGCTGCAGTGCTCCTGCGTTTGAAAGCCTCAGCTTTACCTCTTGGACCGATTTTAGACCCCGAGTGACCCCGAGTGCATCAAACACATCCTTTTTATCACTAACGAGATGTTAACAAGCCTCGTCATGTAAAAAGATATCGCAGAACATCTGAGGAGCTTGGAAAGAAATTTTCTTCCAAGAAGCTTCTCCAGTTCCAGACCAAAGGGTGGAGAGTCCCAGATTTTAGCCCTATTGGAGTGTCCCTTAATGAGATCGTTGACAAAATATTGACCGTGGTGCCTCATCATATGAGGCAAGGTGTGAAAACAGGTGTGGGTCATTATCAGCAGAGGCTCCAGGTGAACCCACTGTGAAATCTAGCCCCACCCTATCATGTGACTCACTGAGGTCAGATGACCCAGGATGTGAGTGGGTGTGTGAAGGATCTTAAAACTGGATTATAGATGGCAGTTGGTGTCGTAAGCCCCGCCCTCTGTTCCAGGATGGTCGTTCACAGTGGAGTAAATCTGTGTCCACTGTGAACGACCATCTTTGAACATGCGATGAGGCACATGATCAATAGTGGGTCAACGACCCTCTTGGGTCCCATTAGGACTTGAATCTGGGACTCACCATCATTAGATTTATGAGACACTATATATGTAGAAATCGTGCTCTGCAGTGAGTCCACCCTGGAAAAGGAAGAGTTCGAAGAACTCGTTAGAAACGCCCAAAACGACATTCCTGCCTGTGACGAGCGGAAATCTCTGACCACAGTTCTATGAAGGGAGCTGAAGCAGGGGCTGTGTTGGTAAGCTAGAGAGGACCAAGGGTCGAGGTGACAGTAGAGTCACGAGTGTGATTTCAGGTGAAGGGAGCACGACTAGATGAGCCTACAGGTGTGAGATCTAAGTGTCAGATGTCGGTTGGGTATAACCAGCGCTGTACGTTCACGGCAGGATGGTGCAGCAGTTCGCTGTGGACTTTGAGAAGCGCATCGAAGGGTCCGGGGATCAGGTGGACACCTACGAGCTGTCGGGAGGGGCGAAGATCAACCGCATCTTCCACGAACGCTTCCCCTTCGAACTGGTCAAGGTAACCGTTCCGCTCAGGTGACATCATCGCACCATGTGCGACATCATGCCGGTTCAGTGTGCAGCAGGACTTCCTGTGGCAGGCGAGTGATGTCATAAATGTGTTTGTGCAGCTGGAGAGTGATGAGAAGACTCTTCGTAAGGAGATCAGCTACGCCATCAAGAACATCCACGGGATAAGGTGGGTTTGTTCCTAAAGTCCTGCCTGATTGTAATATCAAACCTCGGTAAAAAATCCCTGTTTATTCTGTCTGCAGTACCTCCACTGTACAGCAGGGGGTGCAGTGCGCATGCTACCTGTTCATTTATTTGGGTTTGAACATTTTCTCTCGGCACGTTCTTCCTGTTTATGGATCCAGATGTATTCATGGATTATTAGCTTGTCATCTTTGACGGCACTGCCACTCAAAGATGTCTTCATCCGCTGAATAATCGACATTAGAGTACGAGTTTCATCCATAAACATCTGCCAATGTTATCCTGGGAACGTGTGTGTGTGTGTGCGTGCGTGTGTGTGTGTGTGTGTGTGTGTGTGTGTGTGTGTGTGTGTGAGACGCTGTTACAGAGAAACAGTTACACTAACTGTGCTCAGACAGCAGACGTGCGTCCCTGCAGCTTACTGTAACAAGTGCTGCATAGCTTTGATCTTTTTTCTATTCAGTTCAATTTAATTTACACAGCGCCAAATCACAACAACAGTCGCCTCAAGGTGCTTTATATTGTACAGTATATCCTATAATAATAGATACAGAGAAAATCCCAACAATCATATGACCCCCTACGAGAAAGCACTTTGGCGACAGTGGGAAGGAAAAACTCCCTTTGAACAGGAAGAACCAGGCTCAGGGAGGGGCGGGGCCATCTGCTGTGATTGGTTGGGGTGAGAGAAGGAAGACAGCATAAAGACATGCTGTGGAAGAGAGACAGAGGTTAATGAGTGTGTGTCGCTGCGCTCGCCGAATTCTAATCCTTTAATTGTCCCACAAAGGGGGAACTTTGGTTGTATCAGCAGCAAAAACACACAAACAGACTAGAAACAGAAAAACAATTTTTACATATTTACATCTTGGACAATAGCAAAGCAGAGTACTGTACAGTTATTAAAATTAGAGTACAGATAAGTGGCAAACCTAGGTTGTAGTGTGAAATGGAAAACTGAATACAGTTTTCCATTTCACACTCACAGGGGTGAGTGTGAATGCGCTCACCTGTGCGCTCACCTGTGCTCAGGACGGGTCTGTTCACCCCTGACATGGCATTCGAGACGATCGTGAAGCGTCTGATCGCTCAGCTCAAAGAGCCGTGTCAGAAATGTGTCGACATGGTGATCAGCGAGCTCGTCAACACCGTCAGGCAGTGCACGCAGAAGGTACTACACATACTACGAGTACTATCATCGCACAGTACTAAGCGCTAATACACAGTACTGACTACAGTGACCTTTGACCTCCTCCTGCCTGCAGCTGGCTCAGTATCCGATGCTCAGAGAGGAGATGGAGAGGATCGTCACTCAGCACATCAGAGACCGAGAGAGCCGCTCCAAAGAGCAGGTTGGTCACATGACACCGTCGCCATCTTGGTATGATCCTGACCATCGCAGTTCAGGCACTGGAGAGTCGTGGCCTATTCCAGCTGTCATTGGGTGAGAGGCGGGGCTCACCTTAGCAGGTGGGCAGGCTGTGACAGGGCCGTCCTCTTCACCGCCACCAAGTCATAGAAGATTTGCAGGATACATGGACATCACCTGTGTCACATGCCGCTGATGGCTGTCCGTCTCCCTCCTCAGGTGATGCTGCTGATCGACATCGAGTTGGCCTACGTGAACACAAACCACGAGGACTTCATCGGCTTCGCAAAGTAAGACCCTTAAACCGACTTCCTGTCAGGCTCACCTGTATCCCTGATACACAGGTACAGGTGTGTCAGCTGTCTGATACACCACCTGAGCTGTGTGAACACTCACCTGGGGTGTGTGTGTGTGTGTGTGTGTGTGTGTGTGTGTGTGTGTGTCAGCGCTCAGCAGAAAAGCAGTCAGATGAACAAGAAGAAGGCAGCAGGAAACCAGGTGAGTGTGTGCAGGTATCCTGGGAAAGGAGGAGCAACACGATGAAGTGTGGGAGGACGCCATCTTTAACCTCTTTTTCTTCCTCTGTCTCCAACGCCTCTGTTGCCACGGCAACCAGGATGAGATCATGGTGAGTGTGTGTGTTCGTGTGTAGCGTAATGGGGAGGGTGAGGGTGCACCTGTGTTGGAGCTGGTTTACTGGAAACACTGGTGTCATTGACCTGTGAAATGCAGGTTTAAAGCAACCTTTGACCTTTGATCTGGATTTGAATCCTCCTCCTGAGGTGGTTCGTGATGTTGGTCCAGGTGTTATTTGATCTTTACCTGATACCAAACGTCCAGGTTTCTGCGGAGACTGCAGCCCAACGTCAGATGTTTTCACGTTTTAGCGATTAGTGACATCATCAGCAGTCACATGTTTTACTGATGCTGTGCGCAGGTGATCCGTAAAGGCTGGCTCACCATCAACAACATCGGCATCATGAAGGGCGGAGCCAAAGAGTACTGGTTCGTCCTGACTGCTGAGACGCTGTCCTGGTACAAAGATGACGAGGTAACACACACTGGCACAGACACCTGCACAAACGCACACGCATGCTCACACCTGCACCGTGCAGCGCTGTGTGGCAGAGCATGTTTTTATGTACCAGCTGGTTTTGTTTGTGTGCAGAGCTTTGCCGGTGAGCCGTGCCATTACACATCAGACATGTATTTCAAAACTGTCACAATCTGCAGTGCAAACCGTGGCTGGACGAGTCATTTCAACACCTCACAGTCTGCAGGAGGAAACCGTGACAAACACACATGTAAACACGTTGTTGCTCATTTCCATCAGCAGGTTTTTTGATACCAAAGGAAGGTGTCACATGGATCCAGCACAAACCTTTTATTTCTATTTAAAGTTAAATCTAGTTAAATAAAGGTTTACTGAGAGGGCAGAAGCCCGAAAGGCTTTATGCTATTTATCTCACTGCTTTCATTGCGCCTCCTACAGGAGAAAGAGAAGAAGTACATGCTGCCTGTAGACAACCTGAAACTGAAGGACATTGAGAAGAGCTTCATGTCCAGCAAACACATCTTCGCCCTGTTCAACACTGAGCACAGGTCAGTGTGATCAGCCACGTCCACACACTGAGAGGTGCTCCGAGCGTCCAGCTCCGAGCGTCCAGCTCCTACGCTAACGTTTAACAACGAGTTAGTTTCCATCTGAGTGTGATGTGCTGTGATCGAACCGAGAATGAAAGCGTGTGGTTAAAAATCTGAAGGTCAGCGAAGATGGAAACTAAACGGAGCGCCATTTGGACACACAGCAATGTGCCAGCTGCAGCGGCTCGAAACACATCAGCGCAGATGTTTCCGGTGAAGGAGGAGGATGTTAAACTGTTCTCAGTCAAAGTTTAGGCTCTCTGATGGCGCAGACAAACGCCGTCACGTGACAGGAAGTAGACATGGAAAATGGAGATTTGTCTTTCAGCAGCAGATGAGATATGTGTGTGTCGTTGGTTCTGATGATGATCCTGTGATTTGTGTCTGTAGGAACGTGTACAAGGACTACCGTCAGCTGGAGCTGGCCAGCGAGTCTCAGGACGAGGTCGACGGCTGGAAGGCGTCCTTCCTACGTGCTGGAGTGTACCCTGAACGCAGCGTGGTACGCCCAATTTGTACTGTGTTATAACAATATTATTACTGATGTTATTACTTATTACTGCAGTACAATTACATGTAAATACTTTATTCAGCACTGAGCAGCTCCTTCAGTGGGAGACTGCGGCACCCACGGTGTGGGACGGAGAGATTTCGCAGGTCTTTCCTCCCCACTGCTGTCAGACTCCACAACAAAGACTTTAACTGAACAAACACACACATCCACACATGTGCAATAACACTAAGTGCAATAATCTTTTCTGGCATCGTTGTATTTTTACTCAGTTGTATATAGTATTCGTATTCTATTTTTATCTTATTGTATATTTTTATTCTATTTTATTCTACTGTATATAGTATTTTATTTTATTCTATTCTGTACAGCTGTGTACTGTATTTATTCTTATTGTATTCTAATTTTTGCGTCATAACTTTTGCACTGTCCACTTCCTGCTGTGACAAAACAAATTTCCCACGTGTGGGACTAATAAAGGTTATCTTATCTTATCTTATTCTGTCCTCTCCACACCCTCCATCAGGATAAAGAGAAGGTGAGTCTCTCATGGTGCACTTCAGGTGGAGGTGGTGTGTGTGTGTTTAACGGTCAGCGTGTGCAGGTGGAGGTCGAGGAGTCGAGTGGCGACGGGCAGATCCACAGTCTGGACCCTCAGCTGGAGCGGCAGGTGGAGATCGTCAGGAACCTGGTGGACTCGTACCTTGCCATCATCCACCGTACCATCAGGGACCTGATCCCCAAGACCATCATGCACCTGATGGTCAACAATGTACGACACACGCACATACACACAAGGCCATACAGGAAGTCATATTGTGAGTCACGTGACCTCCTCTCTGCTCCTCAGACGAAGGACTTCATCCACGCTGATCTGCTGGCTCAGCTGTACTCTTGTGGAGACCAGAACACCCTGATGGAGGAGTCCCAGGAACAGGTGAGGCAGCAGGTGGAGGTGGGAGGGGCTCGGGTTTTAAGCCAATCAGACTCAGACTCTGCTTCTTCCTGCTCTCGTCCAGGCTCAGCACCGCGATGAGATGCTCAGGATGTACCACGCGCTACGCGAGGGCCTCAGCATCATCGGTGACATCAGCACCTCCACCATCACCACAGCGATGCCTCCGCCTGTTGACGACTCGTGGCTGCAGGTGACGGGGATGCCGTCAGGACGCAGGTATGCTGCTAACAGATGGGCCGTGCTGCGTAACAGACCATGGGCGGCATCGCTGACACTCGGCTGGTCTCTGCAGGTCCCCCATGTCCAGTCCGACCCCCCAGCGCCGGGCCCCTCCTGGCCCTCCTCGTCCAGGTGGTCGTGCCGCCCCGGGTCCCCCCTCCCGTCCGGCGGTGTCACCTGATCCTGGACCCCCCTCTATTCCCTCACGACCCAACAGAGCGCCACCACCTGGAGTTCCCAGGTAACGCTCCTCCTAATCCATGTTTATAACAGGAAACCTGAGGTCACAGAGGTCAGGTGATCAGCAGCACGGTCACAGGCTCCTAGCGTGTGCTGAGTTCAAATGCAGTCAGGACAGGTGAGTTTCTGGAGGCAGACTGTACATAAAAGATGAAAGGAGCCTGTGATGTCACATGGTCTCTCACAGTAACGTCACAGCAGCAGTGTTATTGGCCATGTCATTAAAAAAGCTCCGGCAGCACGCACACGGTCCACAGGTCCAGTTCAGGGACATGAGCTGAGCTGAAGCCCAGCAGACAGCCATCAGCTGCAGCCACCTGTTTCATCATCCACCTGTCAGTCAAAGAGGCCACGCCCCTAATAATGAAAACTTTAATCCAGGTGCGTAATAACGCATCCTCCAATAAATGATCCACAGACACCAAACACGTAAAGTTTTACATGGAAATCTGTGGGACTGACTCACTGCTGCCTCAGCTGGATGGTGGAGGAACTGCAGGTGTTGGTTGACGGGTGTGTGTGACAGTGTAAGACGGTCTCGGCGTGCAGTGTACAGGAGCATCAAACAGATGACTGTATCCTGGAATGCTGTTTCTAAACTGTACCATGAACATCCAGATGTTTCCAGGGATTGTCATCAGTGTGTGCAGCTGGCTTCAGCAGAGCTACAGTAAAAGACATCAGTCGTTAAAAAGAGCATTACCTGTGAAAGTGTTTGAACCTGAAGCAGAGAGTTTGTGTTTGTGTGACCCGGATGATGTTTTATCAAAAACTAGCTGAGAGCAACTTTCTTCTTCGTTGGTACTGTAGAACAAAAAGCAGCGATCAACAAACAACCTGCACAGACATGAAAAAGAAAGACTGTCTTTCTTTCCTCAGACTCTCCGTCCTCACCTGTGTGTCTGTTAGCCCAGCATGAGGTCTGCGCACCTGCCCACTCCCACACAGCCCACGGAGCCATGTCTGTCTGTCCTCCTGTCTGTGCGTGTCTGTGCGTGTGTGTGTGTGTGTGTCTATCTCTGTGTGTGTGTGTGTGTGTGTCTGTGTGTGTTTTCCTGTCTTTCTGTCCGTTCGTCTCTTGTGTTTGTGTGATCCTGTTCTAACAGTACCTTTCAGAGGTGTTTGACAGTTTCTTATGATTTTCTATGTTTTTGCATAAATTTGATGTAAAAAGGAAAATAACAAAGTAAACACATACGACAATAAGTGCCAGGACTCAGTCTATTCACACCTACAGGCCAGTGGACACTCTGTCAATGATGATCTGTTAGCTGTTTGACAACTACTCTTTCAAGGATGTTTGATATGAAAGGAAGGTTGGAGATTGGCCTATAATTAGCTAAGACTGCTGGGTCTAGAGATGCTTTTTGAGTAAAGGTTTAACTACAGCCAGCTTGAA